AATAAGTCAGAGGGAGAAGGTCAAATACCATATGATCTCACTCATTAAGTAGTAGATAATAACAACAACAAAACAAACGCATAGCGACAGAGATTGGATTGGTGGTTACCAGAGGGGAGCGGGGGAGAGGGGAGGGCGAGGGGGATAATTAGCCACATATGTGTGGTGATGGATTGTAATTAGTATTTGGGTGGTGAACATGAAAACATGATGTAATCCATGCATAAATAGAAGTATAATGATGTGCACCTGAAATTTATACAATGTTATAAACCAATGTTACTGCAATAAACAAACAAACAAACACACAAAAGAATTCTTGTTTTCCCAAAACCTTGCCAATATTGAGAATATTGTCAAACTTCAGGATTTTGGCCTAATCTGATAGATGACACGTGGAATTTCAGTGTAGTTTTTTGGTAAGTTGTATTGAAGTGTAATATATTGAACCGTACCGATCAGAAGTATATAGCTCAGTGATTCTTTACAAAGTTAACACATCAAGAAGCAGACTACTTGCAGAATCCCAGAAGCCTCTTGTGCCCTTTCTAGTCATACCCACCCCCAAGGATAACTTTTTTCCTGATTTTTAACACCATACATTAGTTTTCCATATTTTAAAATTATATAAATGTAATTATATAGTATGTTGTCATTTGTGTCTAGCCACTTTAGCTCAATATTTTGTTGGTGAGAGTCATCTGTGTTGCTACATGTATTTGTAGTTCATTCATTCTCATTACTGTATATTATTCCATCACACGCCACAATCTGTCCTTTCTGTTGTAGACAAACATTTGGTTTGTTTCTAGTTTCTGGCTACTAAGTATACTGTTGCTATATGGAACTGTTCTCTATCACAACTGTGGTGGTCTATACATGACTCTGTGCGTTTGTCAAAACCCTAGACCTGTACACCACAAAGAATGAATTTTTCTGTATGTGAGTTAAAAATATGTAAGAAAAAAGAATAGTGCTGTTATGAACGTTCTTATACATATCTCTTGGTGAATGTATGTACATATTTCTGTTTTATATATACCTGGCAGTAGAGTTGCAGGGCCCTGGGCTGTGCATATGTTCTACTTTAGTAGATACTGCTAGACAGTTTCCAGAGTGCTTGTACTACTTTTTGCACTAGCAGCGCATAAGAGTTCCAGTTGCTAGTACATAGAATTGTCTATCTTTCTATTTTAGCCATCTGATAGGGGTGTAGTTGTATCACGTTATGATTTTAATTTGCATTTTCTTGATGATTGGTTTACTGGAATTTTGGATATCCTCTTTCATAAAGCATTGATGTGAGTGTTTTACCCATTTATCTTTTGGATTGTTTGTCTTTTTCTTATTAATTTGTAGAAGTTCTCAATATATTCTGGAAACAAGGCTTGGTTACATACATGTATTACAAATATCTTGTACTCCGTGGGTTCACTGTCACTCTTAATTTTTTTTTTATTGAACAGAAATGGTTAATTCTAATGTAGTCTAGTATATCTATTTTTCCCTTTATGGTTAGCACTTTTTGTATGTTGTTTAAGGAATCTTTTCCTATCCTAAGGTATGAAGATATTTCCCTATGTTTTCTTCTAAAAGCTTTATTTTTTGACCTTTTAGATTTAGATCTATAATCAATCTTGAAACTATTTTTTTTTGTTTGATGTAAGATAGGGGTCAATATTATTTTTTTCTCTTTATGGATATCCTTATATTGACCATGCACCATTATTGAAAAGACCATCTTTTCCATGTTGCGCTGTCACCTTTGTCATAAATCAAGCGTCTCTTAGTGTAGTTTTGATTTATGAGTGGGGTTGAACATCATTTTGTTTAGTATCTATTTGCATTTATTTTTCTGTGAATTGTCCATACTTTACCCATTCTTATTGGGCTGTTGGTCATTTTCTTCTCAGTTTTTTGAAGCTCTTTATATATTAGAGATATTAGCCCTTTGTGATATAAATTGCAAATATATATATGTATTTTTTTTAGTTTGTAATTTCCACACCTTCTTTTTATCTCTTGTAATAAGAACTGATTTCACCTACATGTCAGGAGTGTCTGTGTTTTCCACATCCGGAAGGACTGTAAGATGGCCTTTATTCCTCTCCTGCCGTTTCTGACCTCTCACTGTGGGAGTACAGCTGTGCTCTTTGGGCAGCATTTGACAGGGTAAAGGTGGGACTGTTCGTGACTAGACTTCACAGTATTAAACCTCTTGCTCACCTGGCTGTACTACTGTCCTCTTTCTACTACTTTTGCAGAGTACGCTCTGTCTTTGAAGATTTTATATAAACCTAGTAGTTCCTTTCTGTAGTTATACCTCCCCTCACAGGCAATATTCAAATATTTATTCAGGTAGTTTATGGACTGTAAAAAGGTTTTTCAATTTATCTTTCTAATAAGAGGGAGACTGTTTCTAGGTTCAACTCTTTTTCTTTTATTCCTTTAAAAAAAAATCCCATTAAGAAGAGTACTGTAGGGCCGGCCCCGTGGCTTGGTGGTTAAGTGCTCGCGCTCCGATGCTGGTGGCCCGGGTTCGGATCCCGGGCGCGCACTGAGGCACCACTTCTCCGTCCATCCTGAGGCCGAGTCCCACATACAGCAACTAGAAGGTTGTGCAGCTATGACATACAACTATCTACTGGGGCTTTGGAGGGAAAAAATAAATAAAAAAATAAAAAATTAAAAAATTAAAAAAATAAATAAATAAATAAAATCTAAAACCAAGCACTTATGCTCATTCATGGAACGCTATAGAGGATATGCAAAAGCAAGCCACATACATAAAAAAGAAATTAGCAATGGATATCACTGACAAGGATTTATATCCTGGTTATATAAAGAACTCAATAAGAAAAAATTAACAGCTAAATAAAAAAACCATAAACAGATATTTAACAGAGAGTAAAAATGAATGGCCCATAAATATGTGAAAAGACACTAAATCTCATTAATCACAAGGGAAATGCCAAATAGTAAAATAGTTTTTATGCCCACTGGATTATTAGTATAAATGAAAATGTGTTGGTGATGATATGGATCACCACGAATTTCTAGTGGATGTGTAAAGTGGTTCAACCACTTAGGAAAAGTCTTTGGAAATATCCCAAAACAGGTACTCCCATATACCCAATAATTTTATCCCAAGAATGAAACATTCCTCTTCCCACCAGGAAATGTATTTGACAATATTTAAACAGATTTATTTATTCATAAATGCAGAAAACTACCAACCCAAAGTACCTTTCAAATTCATAAGGATCCCTATCCTGTAATGTCACCATACATAATATAATAATAGAGAGCAATGAAAATATATAAATAACTGCTAAACATGACAACACCTTTGAACCTCAAAGCCCAAAATGGAAAAACAATCAAGACACAAAATGGGTACGTTAGGATTCAACTTGTTAAGTTAGAGTGATGTCAGCATCATGGCAGAGTGAGCTGTTCCCTATGTCTCTCCCCAGTAAGATACAACCAAAAGGACGTTCATTAACCAATAAGGGATACCTGCACAATACAACAGGATGCCTGAAAGATCCACACAGCCATACATCAGAAGGTGGGCGTACTGGATCCCCAGAAGCAGTGGAAAGAGGTGAGTGGATCTCATCCCCCTCCCCAGCTTCAGTGATCTAGGTCCAGGGTCCATGCAGCAACTGGCACGCCACTCTGGCAGGAGGTGAGGGAGCAGGAGGGCCTCTGCCAGAACACTTTCGCTTTCAGGATTTCAGGCATACAGGAGCGCTCCACACAAAGGTGGCTCGGCCACGATGTGGGTGCCCCCGCAAAGCCCAGCAGTCTATGTGGGCCACTGGTGAGTGCAGAGTGGACTCAAACATGCAAAAGAGGGCACAAACCCCTCCCTTCCCACCTGGCCCACCAGAGATCACTAGAAATCAATCACAAGAAAAAATCTGGGAGAGTCACAAATATGTAGAGACTAAATGAGATGCTACTGAACAACCATTGGATAAATGAAGAAATCAAAGGAGAAATTAGAAAATACCTGGAGACAAATGAAAATGAAAAGCACAACATACCAACTCTTATGGGGTGCAGCAAAAGTGGTTCTGAGAGGGAAATGTATAGCAATACAGGCCCACCTCAACAAAAAAGAAAAAATTTCAAATAATAAATCTTAAACTACACCTAAAAGAAGTAGAAAAAGAAGAACAAACAAAGCCCAAAGTCAGCAGAAGGAGGGAAATAATACAAATTACAGCAGAAGTAACTGAAATAGAAACCAAAAAGTAATAGAAAGGATCAATGAAACTAAGAGCTGGTTCTTTGAAAAGATAAACAAAATTGACAAACCCTTAGCCAGACTCACTAAGAAAAAAAGAAAGAAGGCTCAAATGAATAAAATTAGAAGTGAAACAGAAGAAATTACAACGGATACTGCAGAAATACAAAGGATTGTAAGAGAACACTATGAAAAACTATATGCCCACAAACTGGATAACCTACAAGAAGTGGATAAATTCTTAGACTCATACAACTTCTGAAAACTGAACCAAGGAGAAATAGAGAATCTGAATAGAACAATCACAAGTAAATAGATTGAAACAGTAATCAAAAACGTCCCAAAAGACAATAGTCCAGTACCAGATGGCTTCTCTGGAGAATTCTACCAAACATTCAAAGAAGATTTAATACCTATCCTTCTC